AATTCCAACTTTTTAAAAACAACAGTGAAACAAAGCCACAAATACCCTTTCTTGAAATGTCTCTTCATGCTTTCCATCCAAAACAGAAAATAATCAAGCGAACCTCCCTCTCTCTAAATGACCAACATATTAATGCCAGCTAGGAACATTCTCAAGTGCTAAAGGCAATCTTTAAGTCCCAAGAATATTTATTGGTATCGTTGTTGACTCCAAAAGGGAAAAGATTACAGAAATTACATTTAAGAAAGCTTTGCAAAAAAAGAGAATGAGTGGGAACTATTATCAGATCTGAGGGAAGTCAGATCTGGACAATCTACTTTAAGTTGCTGCTTCAGCACCAAGTTTCAATGTTATACCTTATGTGCATTTCTTAAAACTTTGTTTCTATATGCATAGAGTTTCTTGGTTGGTTGGTTGGTTGGTTGGTATATTTTCACAGGACAAGAACTCTTAAGTAACAAGAGAAGCAAGAATGGAAGTCCGTGGCATAGGCTATGATGGTATGTGTGGGTTTGGGAATTCCCACAGTATGCTCTCGTTTTAGCAAATCCCACTTCCGCTGCAGGAAGCCACACTAAGTCATCCTTTGGCTGTTGGTGGCAGGAGGGGTGTAAATAAAAATGTGAGGTAGTTCTTCCCACAAGAGGGAAATATTTGTCTACATAATACCCCTGCAATGTCTGACAAATTACTAGAGCATCTGCTTGCTGTCATCTATCTGTAAGTAAACTCTAAGCTTGGTATTAACTGCACTTGACAAATTATGAGCTGGTTGCAGTTCACAGGCCTTATTTTTTGATCCAGCCATGATAGACGGAGACACTAAAACCCCCAAAAATGTGAACCATAGAGACCACCAAGTATAAGAACTGCAGAAGCATAAGAGTTCAAAAGCATATGGGGGAGCGGGTAAGAGCACATAATAATTTACCAGAACTGTGCATAAAAAAGAATGAAGGCTGTGGGGATTAACTTACAGGCTCGGCTCCCACAGTTTAACTGTCACCTTGAAGGTTTAAAAAAAGAAAAGACTTGAAGTTCTAGCATAATAGAGAATGTGGCAGAGGCTAGATAAAGGAAAATTAACATAGAGATATTAAGGGCAAAGGAATAGAATATCCTGAGAAAAGCAAGAGTTGTCCAGCAAGAGTTGCCCACGAAAACGTTTAGTCTTTCCTACTTGGAGTGTGCACATTAACAATGAATAAGAAATTCATTATTGCTGAAAATATTTGCATTCTACACTTTCTTTAGGCTACTGGGCCAAGAATACCAGAAATAGATCAGGAGTAAAATTATAGTTAGAAAAGGGGAGAAAAGGTAAGGTAGGACATTAAAATTTTATTCTGAAATTATCTCTGGCCACGACAATAAAATTTAACAAATAGTCACTGAACAGTCTTACTCCTGTCATCAGCTGTACAATACATACAGTATCATAGAACTGGCCACTAGGATTAAAATCCACTAGAACATATTTCATGTTAAGTGGCGACAGCAGCATCTCACAGAAATTTTTACATACATATATACACAGTCCACATTCAACCATTTTCACATATTTTCAGTACACACAGTTGCAGCATATTACAGTCACGTGTCTAAGTTGTTGCTCGATGAAAACCCAAGCCACTGCCTAGACATAACTGTAGCAGTTGAGCTGAGTATAATTACAACTAACTTCATATATGTCCATAGCAGATAGATGTACAGCCCCTAAGAAACAGAGTTCACAAATACTGTTGTTGTTTTAAATGCTACCACAGCATTATGTTGGGCAATATTAAAACCTTTACCAACTAAATCAGATTTTTGTGTGTGTGTGTTTTAAGGTCTTCTGCTTACCAGAAATATTCTTGATGAAAAAAATTACAAAAATGAATGCTCTCTTCAAAATAATTCACACTTTTAAGATTCCAATATGGCCCAATGCTACTGATGCCTAAAGTGTTCCTAACATTCTGATGGAGTCTTTTAACCTGACTCCAAACCACCCATTAAGTTTAAAAGTGGCTTAAGTGCCTTGCACCCAAATTGTAAAAATCCCTGGCCATCCTCGCTAGAGCCAGGCACATAGAAAAGGAATGCACTTTGGTTCATACCAAATGCCCTGGGATTAATCACACTAGAAAATTAAATGGGTTTGAGGTAAATTTTTACAAATAGTCGATTTTTTGTTGTCTAGTGTTAGCATAACAAAAAAAAAAAGTCATTTAAAAAAATTCAGTCTGATGTTGATACAATGAAGACCATCTTTAACCCCTGAAACATAGGAATTCCCTGTGTAACTAAGCAATGGTTACTTTTCTCAGTGCCTGATGATGCTTTCCGCCTTATGGTTTCTATTAAGGCCTAGAAGTAACTGGATATTTAAGACAGATGTATCTTTGCAGAGGTGGGTTCCATCCTTACTGCCCAGTATTCAAAGAGTTAAAGAGGCCAAAAAATGCATGCCCTACAACATGGCATTCAGAACAAAAGGCACATTGTTAACACTAAGGGCACGATTTCTCCTCTATGTTAATCTACACTGTCTTGCATCACTGTTGTTCCACTGTTGTAGCGACTCACTTGCGTGGTGATGCACACTCTGGAGGTGCAAGAAGCGGAGCCAGATGAGACTGCAACCAAAGACAAGACGACTGTGCTATTCCTAAACCTGAAAACAGCTCAGACATCCCTAGACAATGGTAACCTGTGAGACCTAGGGCTGTTTCCAAGCCAACTCCTAGTAGCCTAGCAGAGCCCTTCAGTTAGTTAAGTGTTAAAATCACAAAGATGCAACATTTTCCTCTTTTTGACATTATAATTAAGCTAGACTTTTTGAAAAGTGGCTCTATCACTAAACACTGAACAGGGTGGCTCTTGTGAATAAATTTCATTATATTTTGGGGGGCAAACTATAATAGCGCTGCACATTATAGTTTGGCTTAAAAGTTTCCGGTTACATTTGTGAATAAAGAAAGTCACAAATGCACTGTTGACATGTGAAGAACCAGCTTTGTGTGGTGGGGGAAGACAAACAATATTAGTACATTTATGACTTTCCACATGAATAATCATTGCAGAGGGAAATTCATATGCATGGCAGGCTCAGGTTCATAGATTTATCACTAAACGTGGAGATGAGACTGAACACGGAGGAGGAGCGTTGCAAAGGGAAAACAGCCTTTACGTTTTTATTTTAACAACCTAAAGAAGCTAACTATCATCAAGAGGCTTATGGTTTTTACAAAGCCATCACATCAAGTCTGAAACTTCTTATGCCTTTAAGCCAAAATTTTAATAATAAATACATAATCCTTAAATTCTGTAAGCCACTGATTGGGGGTATCATCACATGAGCATCATTTAAAATGCACATTACTAACACATTGCGCTTCCACGGATTACACAGAAATGTGTACAACATGGTAAAGAATTTGACTAGGGGGAAGAAGCTATCATTTTTTAAATACAGAAGTACAAATTAATTTATCAGTAACACTCTTAAATAGTAAAGCAAACATCAACATCACTATCTTATTAATAAGCTAATCTTATTACTGTTGTGTTTTTTTTGGCAAATATTCGTAGTATTTCCTGAGCAATTTTCTCCACCATCAACTGACAAAGCCTCAAAATAAGTGTTTTGTTCAAAACTACTTTTTTTTTTAAGTAAGAGAAACTCCAGGATTTATATATATATTTAAAAAAAAAAAAACTTAACCGGAAACTTTCTTGGCCTCACTGGGGACCATGCTTTAAGTACTTGTAAATCAACTTACAGGCAATACAATAATATCTGTGCATATAAAAGAGTATTTACCTTAATTTTTACTATCCAAACCTATTTCCAAACAGGCAGACATCTTTCTATATTAAATTGCACATACTAAAATTTTTTTTCACGTGCCTTGCAATTGATATATATCACTGCTCATACATTAGTGATAAAATACTGAAATTTCCACTGTGAAAATAATTATTCAGAGAAGAAAATATTCTTTTACTTTTAACTCTGTGACTTTTCCAGGTAAAGTGTCATTCTCACAAAAACCATCAGTGCAACCCAAAAGGAAGGAAAATAAGAGAGAGAAATGCAATCTCTGTGGCTCCTCTACTGATGCGAAGACTAAATCAAACCATTTACCTTGAGGTTGGACTTTTCCTCCGCTAAATTTGTTGTTCAAATTGGCCTTACAGAACAGCCACAATGACTTCTGTTCAAAACGATTTTCAATGCCCCCCCCTTTTTTTTTTAAAGAAAGAATTGATACTTTCCCAGGCTAAGAGAACCCTACAGTGGCACTTGGGAAGTGGGAACTCATGCTGATCTGTTAAACCTTCTTTGGAACTGTGGAAATCCCCACCTTACGTAGCTAGGCTGCTGTTCTTTTTTAAATTGGAATATGAAACGATGGTCATAATCATAGCTGCAATGTCTCTTTTCTGTATTAACAGTCTGGGATATCTACTTGAAGGGAGGGGGGAAAAAAAGAACTAAATGCAAGCAACAGATGTGTGGTAAGAGAGTAACAGGAGAAAAGCAGAGAGGGGAGGAACAGTTCATGGAATACATTTCTAATTTTAGGTGCAAGGCCAACTCTGTAATATGAGGCTTCTTTACAAAACAGCTTGCTGATCATATTAGAAGATTTAGAGGAACACACACTTTTTCCATTTATCCACCAGGTCTGGTTGGCCAGCTTTGCGACTGTCAGAATGCTAATGGGTCATTTAAACCTTGGGCATTTTATTGTTTGAGCATGATTTACTTCAGAAAATAAAAAGAAAAAATTCTCTAAGGTGCAATTTTTCTTAGAACATCGTTTTCATCCTGACCATTCCCCTCCCTCCATAACTACCACCCAGATAACCTACGGGAAACAGAAGCAGGACATGCTACACCTGTGCATGAGTCTTGAGCATGGAGAGAGAAGGGGGTCTTTGGGGGCAATCACCTGGAGGAGAATATACTATGAACCATAGAAACATAGTGAATGTCTTTGACACCAATCTGTAAGTGCATGGCAGTCACGGAGTAATCAATGGCCTGCCACTGATGTTTATTACTCTGCCACACCAAATACAGTAAGGCTCATCGTACTTTTAGAACACAAAAAAAAGTTTCAGAAAGTATAAAAACTTAAAGCATTGTCCCCATGTATTTTATAAAAACGAATGACTTTCTTACATTAAAATAAGTGCTGAAGAGATACAAATGAGTCGAGTTATTGAGCAAATAAAAACAGGTCTGAGCTACTCCGTTGCAACCCAATAAGGCTCAGCCACATTGTATCTTTCAGATTACCAGCATCGGGGGGACTCAGCTCAGCTAACAAGTTTTGGCAAGACTGTCCTCTGCTGAATATTCCCATTGGCATCTGTCATCTGTGCCAAATTAGTCCTCAGTTTGGAAGCGGAGCTGGAAGGTGGAGGTAACTTGGAAATGGAAGTGATAGCACCAGTGGTCTCAGTTATCCTTTTCACTGCCATCTTCTCCCCGGAGGGAGGCTTTGGCAGCCGCCTCCTCAGCCAGGGATGCCGCAAAGCCTGGCCGGGGGTCATGCGGACCACAGGATCCCATTCTAAACACTGTTTCAAGAAGTCCAGGAAGAGGGGATCATCACACCCCTTCAGTGCATTCCCCCACTCTCTGCTCTCTGGTGGGCCCCTCAGTTTCCCCCTCCGGGAGCGGCCTCCGTTGAGGACCACAGAGCCGTCTGAGAGAGTCGTGACAGTGCAGTAACGGGGATATCCCTTGGAGCTCACAAAATTTTTGGCTCGTTTAGATGCATCCAACAGTTTCTGGGAGGGCATGCCCAACAGTTCGATCATACAGGCCAGCTGGTCCCCTTCATCTTCCCCAGGCAAGAGGGGGTACCCGGTCAGGAGCTCCGCTAAGATGCAGCCCAGGCTCCACATATCGATGGGCATGCCGTACCTGGCGCCAAGGATCACTTCCGGAGCCCGGTAAAAACGGGACTGAATGTACGTGTAGACGCGCTGATGCTCGTAACAACTGGAGCCAAAATCGATCACTTTGATACCGCTTCTACCCTGCTGCTTCAACAAAATGTTCTCGGGCTTAAGGTCACAGTGAATTATTCTGTTTTTGTGCAAAGCATCCAAGCACTGCAGAATGGAGTGGGCGAACTTGCGCACCAAAGGCAGGCTGAAGCCCTGGAATTTATTCTTCTTGATGAGCTCGTAGAGGTTCATGCTCAGCAGCTCGAACGTCATACAGATGTGGTTGCGGAAGGTGAAATTCTCCAGCATGTGGATGACGTTCATGGTGTTGTCCTTGTCCTGCTTCCGCAGGTGTTCCAGGATCCGGATCTCCTCCGCCGCCTGCCGGTGGAAGCGCTTCTCATTCCGCACCATCTTCAGGGCCACGTGCTGGTGGACTTTGTGGTCGTAGGCCTTGACCACCTGCCCAAAGCTTCCCTTCCCAATGACCTTGAGGACCTCGTACCTGTAAGCCACGTGATCGTGGGGCACCTGCACGTAGGATCCCTGGTCATCGTCGTAGCCACCGTTGTTGGACCCGCCTGTCATGCCCTGGCGCTTCTTTGCATTTGGACCCAAGAAGTATATTTCAGGGTAGCTGAAGATCTCGTGGTGCTCAAAGGTGGTTAGTTTTTGCATGTATTGCTTCATTGCTTGCTCGGGCGTCATGGGGGTGGCTTTCACCTTCCCCATGCCTTCCATAGACTTCAGAGAGGTGGAGCTCCCCTGCCGTCGATGGATGCTCTCCAGCTGCCGCTCTGGCACCACCGGCAACCCGGCTTTCCCCACCGTTGTAAGCCCATTGGGTTGTGTCGTGAGCACTGTCCGCTTGTTGCTGTTATCCTCAAACAGCTGCTGCACCTGGATCTGTCCGTGGCTGTGGCTGCCCACATGGAGGTGATCATTCATGGTGTGCTTACTGCCACCAATCTGGAATGTGGAAAGGAAACATGAATAGAATGGAAGAGGTCTGTCTGCTCAAATGGGATGTCTTATAAGTCAGCCCCCAACCCCCACCTTGACCAAACCCAACGTGGTTGGAATTTACAGTCCAGCATCAGGTTTACTAAATGGTCCAAGAGGGACCTCAGGAACACCCTGACAGGGACAGCGGATATGATGCTGACAGCCTCTGACAAAACAGAGGAAACAGAGGTTAGTTGGCTGGGTAAGGCTACAAAACCTGGGATCCTGAAAAAAGGATCCCATTATATGCTGCACCTAACAGACGAGCAGCTTGCGTACACATTGAGGGTCCTTAGAATAAATTCCCTGTGGAGGCAGAGAATATCATTCTTGCTTATCATCCTATACCTAACATTTAGCACGGGGCCTGGCCCAACACAGGCATTCCACTCAATCCACACTTAACATCAAAATGGAAATAGGACACAGAAAAAGCACCAGCATGGAGACTCTCTGCTGGCTCCACCTCCCCCAGATCCTAGCACCTTTCCGCCTCCTCTAATAGCTCCTGATTACCACAGGGCAGGGACTTCTGACTTGTCCACTTCGCTTTCTCCATTGTTTAGTTGGCGTTATTCTGAAAACACTGGTGTGTTCATTCCGGTCTTCGCTACTTGGAAATCTGATTACACCTAAGAAAATGCACGATCCAGTGGCAAAGAAAACTGTACTTTTAGGCTTGAGAGATTACCATGCAGATACACACTGCAACCCCCTAACCTATTTTTAAAAGTTTCTGGGCTTCACTAACTGTGATGACCATTTAAGGCCATTCAGCCCAACCAACTGTTGCAGTGTTTTGGGCCTTCCTTTGGTCAATGGCTCAGCTCTCTTAAGAGCTGCATTTCTCTGGGTTGCTGGGATATTCAGCTTTCCAGCAAGAAATACAAAGTAGCGATTTCTATTTTCAGGCACACATGCCATCCCTGAACATTGCTGTCTAAACAAAATGGATGGTGTAAGCCAAGGCTCCCTCCCACCCCTCCACCACCCATCTCCACAGAGAATCTACTGGGATTTCTTTTCTTTTGTGTTTTTTTTTTTTTTGCATTATCATTGCAAAGAGGTGAGGGGTGGGAGAGGACTAACAGCCAGGATCCTCTCCCAGTTGGGAATTCTTGCCATCTTAGACAACTACCCACAAGTCTTAAAGCACCCCACTAGAAGATTTTCACATGAAATCTTAAAGATCAATTTGTCATCCACAATCCATCTCATTCATCCCACCACCATTAGCTGAGTGAGGTCTAGCCACATAAGTGGCAATCCGTACCCTCAAGAAGCTTACAATCAACTCGTTGAAGTCCTTTACCATCAGTATTTTTTTCTATTATCTCTTCCTAAGCCCTACCTTTTGGGCTTTATCTACCACTATAAGTACAGAAGTGCTCAGTTCAGGGAATGGCTTGAGATCACCTAGCTTATAAAATGAAATTCCAAGACCTTACTCGCAGACTAAGACCTTCAAATTTTCTTTCACTGACACATGCCATGCACAGTGACTATCTGAGCAGTGTGATTTCTCTCTGCATCCTTCCAAAAACAGAGTAGACTATAGTATAGTACTTGGGCGTGTCTGAAGTGTGATTTCATAGACTGAGGGATTTTATTTCTCAGACAGATTTCTCAAAGACTTCTAGTTGATCCCTCTTAGTAAATACATAGATGATATTCCAAGCTAAGTGAACTTATCTCCTGTAAGGGTAGGTTATTTTTTCCTTGTTCTATGCCAAAAGCAAGAAGTCCATAAAAATGAGGAAAGCCTTAGCTTTATATAAAATTAGTATAGGTTTGCTCACTGCTGCTGTTCCCAAGCCTCACTCTCTGCACCCCTCTCCCCACTGTGATCTTTCGAGCACCAGGGAATAAAGGGACCTGGAATTAGAAGTATCAGAACCATTCTCTTTAAGGCAGCATGGAGCGATGTCAAAAGAAAACCTACATTACCAGCAGACATGCTACAAAAAGCATGAGGTTTCATTAGGGACAAAATTAACCTTGGGGCTTTAGGAATTCCTAAAAAGATAGCAAAGTAAAACATTTTGAGCACCTGAAACCGACTTCAGTTTTTGCAATAGCAATTTTAACGTCCTGCATCATTTAAAAAGCAATCACAGAAGTTTACTGACTAGTACTAAAGAGAGCTTGCCCATTCACTTGATCACTTCCTATCTTTCCAAAGATCTTCTCTTGGTCTCCTCCACAGTATCAGTTCACCTACCTAGAGGTGGTGCAAGGGTTCCACAGGGCTCAAACCTCAACTCCCATGGCTTCTCACTCCCATAGCTCTCCCTGGTTGACCATGACCGCAACCGTCCAGGGGCTGACATCTGCCACATCTGCACCTCTAGCTCAGACCTGCCCAAGCTATGTCTACTGAGTTCAACACCCATATGTCCAAGCACAGATCAGCTGCCTATCCCACGGGCAACTCAAACTCATGATATTTCTACCAAAGCTATTTCCTCCTTCCTTAACCCTCAATTTCTGCTAAACAAAAGGCTTCACCTCCACATAGTCACTCAAGCTATACACCTGGATGTCCTCCTCTGTGTCTCACTCACCTTCCCAAGTCATCCTAAGCCTCATCATTTCTTTCTATCCCACACGGACTCCCCTCACACTCCTGTCGTCTTTCACTGGGACAACTCAAACAGCCTAACTTGACCCCTTGCTTCTAAGTCTAAAATTCCTCAAATTTTTCCTCTCCAAAGCACTCCTACGGTTACTATTCAACAGTGTCACTCTGACACTGCCCTTGCTTTTGCTCAAGGCCCACAACTGCACCCATTTCCACAGACAGTACAAGAGCTCACAGGCAAGAACACAAGATCCCAAAACATGGAGCCGAAATGACCTTAGTCCTTCCAACGTCATCTACAACACGCACTATTGTCTCCAAGGGTAACAGAGCTGGATTCCCCACACCTGTGCAAACACCACTGTTTTTTTATGCTCCTCTGCTTCTGATGAAGTTATTCTCATATGGTGAGGAGTCCGGGGATTTTCAAGCAGACACATGGGAAATGAATCCCAGTTTCACCGCTGATTAACTGTGACCTTGGGCAAAGTACTTAATCTCTGAACCACAGTGTCCTAATCTGTAAAAAGAAGGTAACTTCAGTGGGGCTATTAGGAGGATAAGTAAGGTAGTACTGAGTGAAAGAGAACTATTATTATCATCCTTTCCTTCCTAACCACACCTAAGCGGTAAACTCCTAATCAACCCTCAATGTCCAGTTCAACTCTCACCTCCTCAGTGAAACTCCCTCTCCCTTCTACCGTGCTGATATATGGTAACACATTTAATTTTATGGCGATTGTTTTACCACCTGATGTACCCAGCTAGCTATGAGCAATTCCAGGGCAGGGTTCCTCTTATCTCTGAAAGCCCCTATTGATATAAACCCAAACATACAGTAAGCACTCATAATTATCTGTTGAATGGAAAAAGGCATGCCAATAAGTCCTTGTTAACGCACATCTCTGAATTATTCTTTTTTTTAATTCATTTAATTCATTAATAATTTTTTAAAAATTATTCTTTTTTTAATTTATTTTTTAATTAATTAATTTATTTATTTTCTTATTGATTAAGGCACTACATATGTGTCCTTAGCCCCCCATTGCTCCCCCTCCCCACACTCATGCCCTCACCCCTCTGGTGTCTGTGTCCATTGGTTAGTTAGGCTTATATGCATGCATACAAGTCCTTTGGCGCTGAGTTATTCTTGAGAAGTACCTTTGTACCTTCCTAAGAAAACATGAAGTTAACGCCCAGGGAATTGCAAATTGTCCCTGATGACCCACCTCACAAGATGTTAAGTTTGCAGCGCATTGGGGGAGACCTGGAGGCAAAGGGCAACAGTTACAAAGTACCTGTAGCAGATACATCAACTAAACACATGAAAGCAACATGTGGTGCCTTAAAAACTTCCCAGGTGTTAAGAAATTCATGGGAAAGGCTCTAGTAAAGGAGGACTTTGAGTCTCAAACTCTGTAAAACTCTTAACATCAAAACCAAATTTGGAAGCACCATGAACTGGTCTCTAAAGAGGGGAGGAGACCCTAGAAGAGCCAAAACATTTCCAGAACACATATGCCAGGACAGCATCATAAACTGAAGGATCCTGAGAACACTCACTCTCACTCGGCCTCGTGAAGCCTGAGACTGTGGCTTCTTCCTGTCTGCCAATGCTTTCCTAGCACAGTGCCTGCCACATTTAAAAATGTACACTGAGAAAATGCAATTTTTAGATACCTACAATGCATGTGTTAAAATGAAGAGACCCACCGCAGCCTTCTCTGACCACGAAATAGGTATCAAAAATTAGGTAAGAACAATAGTCTCACCAGTTTTGTAGTTTTAATCTCTTCCTATGATCAAATGGAAAACAGCAGATATTACACTGTGCTAACATTTCTGGGCATTTAAGAAGTTCTCTGAAGTCATCTTAGAAATGTTGTGTCGTGTTATGGGAATAGAACTGAGTCCAAAAGATTGGAATTTCAGCTCCTCCTCAAACAACCGACGGTCTGTGTGGCCCTGAGTCAAATGTCTACTTCTTCTTTAAGATATTACTGTTTTTAATAGGAATATTCACTCTTCTTCCATTCTAATTACTTCATAAAGGCAAACTAGCACCTTGAAAATGCTTTAAACATTAAGACACTTCTAAAAGTGATACTATACTAATATTTGGGAGTTAAAAAACTAAGTATATTAATATTTCCCACACCACATAAAAAAAAAAAACACAAAAAAACCTAGTAGTTAAAAAGATAGTTATTGGATAGACTTTTAGGACAGAGATAAACAAAATGACTAGGTGTACAATAATATATCCATGGAGATAGGAAACAAAGAGCAATGGACTAAATTCCACAATTCATAACCTTTATAATCATATATTTATCCGCCTACCATGTTATTTACAAGGGAAAATATGGGCGGGCTCCTATGACAAGATTATTTTCCTCTCATTAATGCCCGTTCTCCCCACTCCTTCTAGAACAGCTTTTCCCAGCTGCAATGGCTGTGGAAAACACTTATACAAACCTAAAGCCATATGGGAATACAGATCTGCAAATGTTCCTGCATTTATAATGAAATTAATAAATATAATTTCCTAGAATTCGCAGTGTCAAGCAGTATGTCAAAGCTAGACTCAGGAGGGCCTGGCTTGGGCTCCAGCCTTGGTATGAACTGGCTCGGGAATCTTGACCAAACCAGTGAACATGTCAGCTTCCTCCTCTGTAAAATGAAGGAGGAGGATCACATCAATGACGTGGTCCTTTTATACTTCCCTGTTCTAGGAAATCTGCAATGTTGTGCAAATAAAATAAAAATTAAACAACAAAACCCCAAATCACACTTTCAAAAACCACGCCTCTAATGATCAACAGCATACTGAAGCTTACAGGTAAGTTACAACGAGGTAAACCTATGCCACAGCAAATCCAAGTATCCTGCATTAGGAGTGCTAAGGAGCATCCTCACATCTGTTCCTTTCCGGTCTACCACAGGCTACTCCAGTTTTCTCTAATCCCATGACATATGTCCATTGCAGAGAGACTCTGATCAAGCAACGCCAACCCTTATAAAACTGGAATCCAGATGCAAACCAAGTATTTTTTCCCCAAGTCATGGGATTACATCCACACCTGGGAAAATGGATGTTATGGTCTCCAACTTGTCAGGTGATTCCAAATAAACCCAAACCCTTAACAACAATGGCCAGTCCTCAACTAAAATGTCACTGTGACAAGAACATTCAACCATAAGAAACCACCCAGCCTACCGGCAGATTCTCTTCCACCATCAAAAGTCCAACACAGACGAGTTAAACTTCTGTGTCTGGATGTGTCAGGAAAGACAAAGGCAGAGAGAAACGAATAAGACTAACAAAATGTTTTCCTATGAAAGTTGTAAACATCTATCCAGGTCTCAGAGGACAGACTCCACTCTAGCCATCCTCTCACAAATCCTCCCCTAATAAACAAGTTTCTCCATAAGGCATTCCCCTCAGAGCTGCTCCTCTGTAGGCTAGACATGGCCTTTTCTACAGCTCTCCACCTCCACTTGACAAAGCTCAATCCTTAGCAAGCATCCCTCATCCAGAACCATCTTAGGCAGCTCCTCTGGGAAGATCCGATTGGAAAGAAGACCTTGGAAACCTTCACCTCCTCCAAGTGCACCCCTCCTCTAGGCTGGCCAGCACCATCCAAGGGCCATCACCGGGAGCTGAGAAGAGGCACATGCTGAAGTCAAGCCCAGCAGGCCAATCACGGCAGCCATCAGTCCCGCAGGCTCTCCCCTCCCTCTGGCCCGCAGAGGGACCCCAGCATCTATCAGGTGCCCTGCCCTTTGCTTTCAAATAACATCCAACTGGGTGGCTTGTTGTTCTGACTGCTACTGCGGCTCTTCTGTTTGTTAACGTTAATTACCATTTCTGCTGTGCTCAAACCTGTAGCACTCATAAAACATGCTTCTACACGCGGAGGACAAATGAGGGTGCTCCCTGCTGGCTGGAGCCAGGCCTGGGAGGCTCTTTGGGGGATCGATTTTCCGGGCAGGACTGTCTGGCTGTCCCCTAACATATCTGTTTCTATAAATACCCACTATCCAACGTGGGGGAGGAGAGATGTTTACCCGGTCAGGGAAAGGAGCTCTGGGAAGCAAGGACAAAAAAAACGAGGGAAGAGAAGGGAAGCCGCAAGGAGGGAAGTTCAGAGGCAGAGGAGCACAGGGGTGGGCGGGCTCCGGAGGGGAAGTGAGGGGCCCACGCCACGAATCTTCCTTTGTGGCTGCAGCTCCGGGCTCGCCCGAGTTACAGAGGGCGGCGTCCAGGGGAGGCCACTGGCCAGGGGCGTACAGACACTGGCACTTCGACCTCTCTTCTCTGAGTCAGAACCCAACAAGTCCGGGTGTGGATGGCCCGGCCCCTCCCGCATCACTGTCCCCAGGCCGCCCGCGGGCAGGGTCTCACCGTGTGGGCTGCAGCCGCAGCGTTGCTGGCCCGGAGGGGCGGCAGGGCGATGGGGGAGGGCGGGCCGGTCCCCACTCCGCTCCGGGGGGGGCCCGCTCCGAGCGCCGGGGAAGCCTGAAGCTGACGAACGGCGCTGTCCCCTCCTCGGCCTGGGAGCCACGCGCGGGAGGAGACAAAAGAGGGTCAGGGGGGGAGAAAGTCACCGGACCCCGTGGCCCCGCCCCACCCCTCCGGACGGCGAAGCCCGCTCTCCTCGGGGGAGACACGGGATCAGTAAAACCGGGCGCCCGGGACACAGATCCCCGGCGCTCACCCAAGGGCTGGGCTCGGGCCGCTGCAAAGTTAGGTCGGGCCCGTGTGCGCGAGTTCGCGACCCCGCGGGAGCCGCGCTGGGCACGGCTGGGCGGCCCACGTTGCAGGCGACGCAGGCCCGGAGCCGGGTGGGCCCGCCGGCCCGGGCGCCTCCGCCTAGCCGAGCCCGGACGGTGGGAGGCCAGGAACCCACCCCGCCCG